ATAACACTCCGACTGCATTTTTCCAACATAAGAGTCATGGAATATTTATATTTATATGAATGGAGCATTATACTCTCTGAAAAAATTTTATTGTACATATATAGGAAAAGGATGGTAGTATCGAAGAAAAGTGTTTCGACTTAAATACTTTTTCAGAGTCATGAAAGCTCTAGCTGTTGCAAGGTGTTGTGTTCGGAGTACAAAGGCGCAAAAAAAATTCAAAAGTGGAATTCTAACTCTGGCTGTCCCTAAAAGCATGACTACTTTTACATGTTCTCCGTAAATTTAATGAAGCATTTAAGAAGAGTTTTCAATTGTTCTTAGAGGGCCAGACGGCATTGTACCAAACCAATTGCAAAACACTTTGGAGGCTTCGAAGCCGGCTCCAATCTTCACTAGGTGCGCTGTGCGAGGGCAGGGAATGGCGTTTGTTCCGAAGACTGGCGAAAGCCCCCCAGGGATTTCAGGATATCTTCGAGATTGCTTAAAACCCTCCGAAAGAGTTGTTGAACTACATATGAAAAACATCAAAGTTAGGTCGGCCGAGAGCGCCTTGCCCAAAATTATGAAATCGATAGAGGAAGCCTTCATCACGTAAAGACCACACTGTGAGTGCGGCAGAAATGTCGCGATGGAGTTCCATCCAGCATAGGATACACACCCCCTTGGAGTAGGGTCACAAAGGGGACTCTATAAAAGCCTGATTATGCAACTTAACTTAACGGAACGTAGAACTTAGAGAATCAAAATGAAACAGATTTCGACGTGGCATTAAGTTACTTTAAGTTTCGGCTGTTCAATTATAAGCAACACCCATTTAACAGAATTTTTAAGAGAGAGCCGTAAGTTACGTTAAGTTGCCATAATCAGACCATAATTCCTAGTAAGTCAGAACTCTTTCCATTCAGTAGCATATATCTACGTATGTATAAGATTCGCGTTCGCTTAGCACTTTCTGACAGACTTAAGGCTGAGCTTGATTCTATGTGTATGAAAAGTAGTAGTGAAAGCCAAGCATTGAGAAAATAGTGGAGAAAACATCATGTGCCCTCTACCGCTGCAGGGATAACATTACCAATTTCTCTCTCCGGGCCTCTCGTAGCGCGGGTTCCCTCTTTGGAATTACAGAGTACTGAGGGTGTCTCCAACATTGGAAATTAGTGTTTTCTTTAACATAAATCCGATCGACATCATAGGTCAGGCTGCTGCAGCAGGCGCTGAGGTTAGACTTGAGGCTTTGGGTGCTCAAATGACCAAAGTATTCGAAAAAGAAAAATATCGCCTTGTTACAGCTACGTTTGGTCTCAAATGGCTTGGATAAGCCGTGTAGGTTTTTAGCGAATACCAAATTTAGACATATCGTCGTAGAGGCAGCTTGCGCCCCAGAGATGATATGCATAGCGTGGAAGTTTTCAAAAGAAACATGAAGTTGGTACATACGACGAGGTACCTGGAGTACCTCCATTATGGCACACCACAGTGGTAGACTCCTGAGGGCATTGGAGCAGGCTTATTGTGCCCCAGACGGAAGCTTCGTTCCTCCTAGGTGTCTTTCCAAGCATCTTCCAAGCAGAAATCTATGACAAAAGTCTGTATGTTAAGACCAACCTTTGCAGGAATTATCGTAGTGAGAGGTTCCTCATTTTAACTGATAGTCGTGCGTCTCTTAAAGTTTCCTCATCCCTTCAGGCCAAATCCTGTGCAGATAAGCTTATTGCTCTGGCTGAGAATAATGCTATCCAATTGCTATGGGCACCAGGGCACATGCGAGTCGAAGGAAATAAGGAAGCGATTCTGGTAGACAGAAATGCTGCTGTCTCGACCCCGATAGATCTGAGATCTTCCTTTCAGTAGGTTCCAACATGACAAAAAAAGCTCTCATAAAGGAAAATGCCAAACGCAGGGAACGGCAATGGCATAACAACATGCCATCTAATTCTGGCATTAATTCTGAAATTTACCTGGGGCTAGCTGGGCTGTTGGCATGAGTTGCGGGCACGATAGATCTACTGTTCGCAGGCTTTGTCTATCTATCTATGTATATACATATCTTCCTCGTGCTTTTCGAGGGTCTAAAATCGCATTTATTGAACACTTTATTTGTTTCGCCATTTAAAAGCATTGAAAAGTGCTTTTCCCATATGTTCAGTGTCATCTCGGCGTCTGTTACTAGATTCCTATCTTCATTTCTGGATGATAGCAAGCAGCAACCTCTTTCGCAGCGTTGCGAAGATATTGGGCGATGAAGAGTTGCTTTTTTACCTAAGTAGAATTGATAGTTGATATCGAAATTTCTCGTCCGTAATGAGGTAGCAATTCTCGACGGACCTAGAACTTCTGTTTGATCTCAGCATCCACGGCTTTAGTAGTGAGGAAACCTCTTTGATTTCCACAAAACCGATATTCTCTCGACAGTTGGTTCTATATACAGCTTCCACGACCGAGGGCTGAATATAACTTGGTGCAGATCGGCGAAACTTTCAAACGCTTCAAAATTATCATTGCTGCGGATGTAATTCCGGGTTCTTCGAACGCGGGAACTCTGCTTATGACTAAGAATCCCTTTGTCTATCCGGTTTTTACAACTACTTTACCTTTCTCCTTAGCTCGACTGAGTGTTTCAAATACTCATAGGGTGTATCGAGAAGGGGGAGTGAGTCAAATGTCCGAAATGGTGAGAAATCTTGTGGATTAAGGGTTTTAACAGAAACAAGTAATAATAAAAAAGCGTTTAAGATAAGCTTTTCTAAGTGATAAGTAAAAAAGAAGAAAAATCGACCCCCGTCCCACCTGACGACTAAATTTTTTATGAAGGTATTTCTATCCGTTTAGGTAATCATGCCTATTACGGTATCCGACGGATCTAATCCGATTCGCCCTGTTTTAACAGGAGAGTGTGCAGGATTAGATTCGCGTATCCCAGTGATGCCATTCGCACATAATCCTTTTTACTAGCTTGTTATGACAATGAGCATCGGAATAGACCGGTTCGGATGGCATCCGTCGGATACTGCAACAGGTATGAATATATGTTGTAAATATGAGACAAATCGGACCATAAATACGAGTTTTCCAAATATCTCGACTCCTGCGGCACCTATCGGGAAATATTTTTTGTGTGGAGTTATTTCCATTCATGTAGGTAATACACATTCCAAATATTTGCCATATCGGACCATAAATACGGGGTTTTCAAATATATCGTCACCGGGGCCACCAAGCCGATTAATTAATTTATAAAAAAAACTAAACGATTTATGACAAAATATTATGTCAGATGACGGTTAGTTTTATATGAAAAAATGCGCTATAAATTGAGATAAAAGAAGTAAACTTTATTACCAAATAAAAGCTATTCTGTCGATGACTGATTCCCCACGCCATTATCTTTGTAAAGGAACTCTTTTTTTTTGTAAACTCACTTTATTTCTCTCTTTATTGTATCTAATACAATACTTGCTATAAAAAATTGCTTACATTATACATACAACTAAATTACCGTCACAAGCATTTTCGTACATAAGTATGTATGTATGTACAATAAAAAGTTAAATTTAACAATATATTTAAGTTTGCATACATGCGAGAGAATATCAAAAAAAATTAAAAAAAAATGGAAACGTAAATACACAAATTTATTAAATTAAAATGCTAAGCGCCTTCTTGACTATGAACAGCGAATGACAAAAAAAAAAAATAAATGAAAGATTCTTTATGTAGTAGGGCTGGGAGTTATGTCCGGATAATTCTAATCGGATAAGAACCGGATATTCGGATAACAAAATTAACGGATATTAACCGATTATAGGAATAGCAAAATTAACGGATATTAACTGCATAACCAAATAGAATGAATATTAACCCGATAACCGGATTTTATCCGTTTAAATGAATGTCGGAGTATACGGGTATCCGAATACACGGATAGTCGCAGCCCTAGTATGTTGCTAAATAGAAGTTCACACTCTTTGCATTCAACAACAATTTTTCTGTCATACGAGTAATTGAGTGAGGATGAAAAAAACGGATTGTTAAACAAAACATGGTGCAAAGTAAACTGTTACAAAATTTAAAAATTTACAAAATTTCGCACTTTTTTCATTTAATAGTTTTAATCATTCGTCTTCTTTTGATACACAATTTATGCATGTAAAAATACGAGGCAACTCTGTCTTCATTTGCCTACAAATTATTGATTTTTTTTTTTTGGACAAAATTCAAATAATGAATTCACATATCTATGTATATATGTATGTATAGTGTACATGTGTGACTTTGTGTGTTTGTGTGTGTGCGATTGTATGAGTGTGCGTTGAAGTGAGATTGGCTCGCTTCAGCTACCCCTTTAGCATAACTATTCTTATTGCAATTTGGCAGCTCTGCCAACACCCACTCAGCCGCCTTTGACTTAGAGTTCGTCGTGCTTGGGACCGGAGAACTCGTCGTGCGAGATGAAACCGTTCTTATCTTTGTCCTCGTGTTGGAAGATCTCCTCGACAAGTTTGTCGTTCTCCTTGAGCATATTCTTCAATTCCTCGGAGTCTTGACCCTCGACGGCAGTCATTTGTTTTTTAAGGTATTCGCTGACCTGCAAGAGTGGAAAGAAAGGGACATTAATTTTATGATTTTTTTGCATTCATAAGCAATTTGTGCAAAACAAGTAACAATGTTAGGTAAAACATGCAAATTGGGGAAATTTGTTAGGGGCTAAAGACAAATGCCCAGGAAATAGATGATTTTTTCTATAAAAAAAAGAGGTTAAATATAAATAATATGCATTACATATGTATGTACATATGTACATGAATATACAGTGGAGGCCACATACTTGGTGAATCTACTTCTTTACAAGTTTTTACCATTTATTTTTTTTACAAAAATATAGCTCATTCCACAACGAAAATATTGTAACTCAAAATTTCAAACATTGTGCCAGATTTATAAAAATTTGCAAAATTTCAAAAAATCGTTACCGAAATTCAAACATTTTAACTATGTTACTAGAAAAAATTTTAACCGGCTAAGAATGCACGTTTACTTGAGATTTCTGTTTTTGCTGACGGTGCAGTGTTTCGACTATATGGAGGCAGGTAGAAAAAAGTCATGGTGACAGTTGATAAAAAAAACCGGTTGGACTTAGAGAGAGGGAAAAGTAAAAGTCATAAATACCAAATTTTACATTATTTACTCACCCTCCTTCTTCACGAACGATACATTTCCAAAAAAATACGGGAATGGATGCGATACCGACTAATCCGTTTAGTTGCCTTTGGCGATTAACCCATTAAGGGCCGTTTGCACCATGTCTAGTTAACGCTAACTGGAGGTACATCCTTCAGTTAAGCACGTTAACTGCTTTATCGATCACATGTTATATGATGGGTGTCGATAACGTCGATAAAGATGTTTAACTGGGAGTTAGAATTAACTAGACATGGTGCAAACGGCCCTTATAAAGAAAGTATTTCTTTTTCAACTGTAATCAATTACTTAAATGTCGTGGAATATTCAGGTGAAGGTATTTATCATTTATTTGGTACTTTCCTATTTTTTGACCAAAAAAATGACTTTGTAATGTAGATGCTAAAGATTATTAGTAAAAAAAAGTGTGAGTACCGTCCCGTCAGGTCTTGAAATTAGACGAATGTTTTAGAGAATTTTATGCAGTTTTCGAATATATAATTTGATCTTTGCGCGCGACTTTGCAAATATATATAATTTTTGATTTTCTTAATTTTTGATTTTCAGCTTATTTTTGCAAAATTTCGCGGAAAGCATTTTTCGAAGAATGAAAAAATTCTCACCAAATATTGGGGAAAAAGCGAGTATTTACACCTAAGTCATTTTATAGTATAACCTTTCTTTTCTGAGAGTGGAAAGCAGGAAACAAAAATTAACCAAAATTCCATCACATTTAATGACTGGGCCCACATTTTTTGTGAGTTTTCGACGTTATACTGATCCAATCTTGTCCATATTTTATATTTAGGTTTTTCTAATAAAATATAGACTAAAAACTAAATTTCATCGAAATTGGATGAAATTTAATGTTTCCGCCCACAAGATTAGAGGGAGTGGCAATTATTCCATCTGTACAAAATTTCATAATTCCATATTTCTAAGTAAAACTAGAGCACATGTCAAGTTTCAGTGAAATCCGTGCAGGTGTACAATTGTTTCCACCTGCCTCCATTGCTCATTTTCTCCCATATAAAAAAATTTAGAAAATGTGGAAAGTTCTCAAAAATCCATGCAAATTCTTAGCCGCTTGAAACTTAAATTATACTTAAATTGAATAAATTGAAATTCTCAGTATAAAGTTTAAAATTTTGATGATTATTTTTTTGAAATTTGATGAAGTTTTGTAAACCTGTTACGAGGTTTAAAACTTTGGCTTACATAGTTTTCGTTGTGGTATAAACTAAATACTTCATTTCATTTTTGTGAAAAAGTAAATAAAGAAAAAATAAATGGTCAAAACTTTTAAAGAAGTAGTGATCATAATTATTTGGCCACCACTGTTGTATCGCTAGCTTAGAGTAAAAAATTACTAAAACCTCCTTTTCATGAAAGTATACATAAAGATGTAGGAAACAAGAAATATTAAAAATGTATCGTTTCAATTGTTTGAATAGTATTTTTTTTATGTGCAACCGAAGCACGGGGGCAGACAAATCCAAGTCAGCGGCTAATGAGCGACACCGAGAGAAAAGGAGGCGAACCGATGTGAATACATAGGACTTAAGAACGCCCCCGGAAATTTATGCAATTTGAAAATTCTATCAGAAAATGCGGCTAGTTCCTGTAGAGGCAAAGAGGAAAATCTGGTAAGTGAGATCAGGAGTAGAAATGGGAACGGGACTAAATATTTAATACCGAACCTGCCCAACCTGAAACTAAATTTTAAAGTGCCGAGCCCGCCCATCCCGATGGTTTTCAGAATTGTACCGCGGATTCCGCGGGTCCCGAAATCTATCACTAAGAAAGATGCACATGTTTTAAATTTATTAAAAAAATAATAATGAAAGATCTGCCATCTTACTTAGCTTTGCTGTTCCTTATCGTCTCAATAAAACATAAAATCTGCATATTTCATACATCGTTTTTAAGGAAGATTTTCTGAGTTTGCGGTTTTATCGGGAGTGTCGGGAAAGGATTTTGGTCCCGTCCCGCCCGCAAAACTTTTAGAGGCCTTCCCGATACCGCCCATCCTGGCCAATTTAAAATCAGTACCGTGGTCCAAGGTATAATTTACCGAGCTAATGTTTTTTAATGTTAAATTAATCGTTTTTGTTTAATTATGTCCAAATATAATTTTTTAAAAACATCTATTCTTTTGAAGACTACGTTTTTTGGTCGAAAGTGAAGTTTTATTTCCGGGAAAAAAATCCGGTGGCGCTTTTGATAATTGTATTGGGACGATGCTAACGGTCTCCCGCTCGACCGAGACGAAACGAGAACAGCAATGGTGCAGTTTGAATAAAAAATATGACCCCGGAGTCGAAGGCGGGTTCGAAGATATTTTAAGAACAATTTGGTCTCTTAAATATATGCCCGAAGGTTAGAATCTGGTTTTAGTTTGCGCTATCCACAAGAAGAAAGAAACTTAATATTGCATATAAGGTCCTATCGACGATAAGGTGTGAAAGTTTGAATCCACTCATGAACCAATTCATTGTACGTTATTAGAGTGTTTTCAGGCTTGAAAAATCTGGACTGATCAGATTTTTCACAGTCCGTTATCTTTCGGTAAACGGTGTCTCACCGACACTGACAGATGGAGTTAGTTAGAAGCAATGCGCTGATGAAAAATCTAGGAAAGCAATCTAAACGCGTGCAAGTCCGCCTTAAGAAAAAATGAGGACTTAAATCAAGGATGGTGCACTGAGGTGGTCTGCCCAATTTAGTTCTATGGGGTCACAGTTTTGATGGACTATTCAAAGATGTCCTGTGATAAGGGAAAAGTTTATCAACGTACTGAAAGTGGCGTGCTACTTATTAGTGGATTGATGCGCTTTGCAACAACTAAACCATTTGAATCTGTAGACCTTTACAATTAACTACGGGCGGGCAAAGGCGAGATCTGGGAAATCTTGCGACTGAAGGTTCGGTTACAAATAAATTCTAGACATCCATCCATCCATAGATGCGGTTAGTAAGTACATGCCAATCTTGATATGCAGTTAATAAGCAATTTTTGCGGACAGTCAGACCGCTATAAAATCGTGTCACTGTGGCAAAAAATCATCAGAAACCCCAATTGAATGTAAAGTAGGTATATTATAAATGAACTGGCATCCAAATAGTACATTATGTGTGACAAAAAAAAGAACTGAAGAACAAAATTGTGGCCTGGTTCGACACATACAATGCCCCGGGCGCGTTTTCACCTAGAATTCCCTCTGCTTAGGCTGGCTGTGACAATCATGACTGGTCAGGGCTTAATAGTGATACAAGCCAGCAGAATTGGCATTGCTGCGAGACGACAGCAAATCAAGAGCTTTGAACACTTTTCCTGTTACTGCACAGCCTTGACTAAACTGAGACGATGGTGTCTTCATCAATGCTTTTGTCACGTATTTCACAGTTAAGCCTGCCGAATATCTGCAAAGTCTATGTAATTAGTCATATTTCTAGCTGTACAATTGGCATCAACTACGATCCAAAAATCGAAACACTTTCTTAGCATAAGTTTAATGATTTTTGGCGTGCTTTAATTTACTGACATTAGGTTGGTACGAACTGAGATCTGGTGGGTAAGTACTCGAAAGGAGTATCTGAGGCAATGAACTTTGGAAAAAAGTTGCCTACTCGAGACAAGAACATAGATATATCATGCTTTATGATCCGACTGTAAATGCCGAAGATATAACGAAAAATGTTAAAGGGCGATACCTACGTTCGGCCCAAACATTTTTTTCTTTCGAAACTGCTTTAAAAATACTTTCGACTCAGGGGTGTTCGGGGCGAATTGTTTTTCCGGTATGGTCAACTGTTGCATCGGCCTCTATGAAATACCGACATCTTCTTACTGTACAAGGAATCGTGTGGCGTATTTGTTACATATCGACTGCTGAGTGAAGATCGACCTATCTCGGCAGCCAATTCTAAAACGCCCTATCTCAAAATTTGGTTGAAGAACGCCCTATTTTAGAATTCGTTTCGAAAACGCCCTATCTCAGCTGCCGATTCAAAAATGCCCTATATCAGCACATTTTCAAAGCCCTATATCACTACAAAAGTGGCATGTTAATCTGCTTGTTTTGGTACTAAAACTTTAAAATTTTAACTGAAGGTGTACGGGGGTGGTCCCAGAAGTACCCGATCTAACAAAGAAAACACAAAAATTTTGGTGGAAAAATATATTTATTTTTCAACATAATCTCCATTCAGCTCTATACACTTTTCCCAGCGATGGTCAATGAGTTCGAAACCCTTTTTATAATAAGAACTGTCTTGCTCCTCAAAATAGCCATTAATTGCCCACATCATTTCTTCGTCGTTAGAAAATCTTTGTTCACGGAGCCATTTTTTGAAGTTGGATCTTCGGATAATGTTGCCATTTCTCCATTTTAACAAATTCATTGAAAACGTTCACTACTGACGGCTGCCAAGCATATACTAAACAACATATGCTTTATAGATTGTGTACTTTTTAACACAGTGATATTTTTTAAACAACTACCGCCATCTCTAGGTTAGGCCGGGTAATTTTGGGACCACCCCCATGTTTCAATGTATCCTATCAAAATCTGTGAAAAACGCAGTGTCGCAAAAAGTGTTGATTAGGGCCAGGGACCGCAAATAACAGTAATATTGGCCAAATATTTGCTATCAAATGAAAGAGGACGGAAGTAGCTTTTAAACAGAAATAGAGAACGAAGGTTACCACCTCTATTTATATATATATATTTTTTTTATAATTTAATACAAAAGAAATTTGTATACCTGACCTCTTCTATGGTAATTAGATAACATTTTTTATTGAAATACTTTCCAATAGGTGGCTTTCCTCGTTTAGACATTTCAGGTTTAAAGCTATTTGAGTCCTCTGTTAGTTTCGGTCCCTGGTTAGGGCATATGTGAATTATGGTAACGATATGTCATATTACTTCTCAAACTCTTCGCGTTCTTCAAAGAATCTGTGTACAATAACTTCGCTTTTTGTCTAAATTAAGTAGCCAAACATTAGACCACTTTCCTGAATGTTCTAAACCTCATCTCAATTTTTTAGAAAAGTTGACGAGTTATTATAAATATTAGTATATGTACAATTAAAACCTTTAAATTAAAGGAGAAATTTATAAAAACACATGCAACAAATCATCAACACCACCATCACCAGTTCCAATAGAGCGTTTAAATAACGTCTTATAACGTAAGTAATTACGTGGTGAAGAAAGTGCGATCCATACATAAACGTTTACCTCATCACGGCTCAGTTGTTTGTCGGCGTTCTCATCGATTTCCTTGAAAACATTTGTTGGTGGTGGCGTATTTCCAATATTGATCAATTCAACGTCGAATAGAAGTGTAGCCTTTGGTGGAATAACATTGCCAGCACCACGATCACCATAACCCAACTCGGGTGGGATGACCAATTTACGTTTTTCACCTTAGAAAAGAAGAAGAAAAAAAAAAAACAAATTTAGGAACAGATTCGAGGGGAGAACATTTTAAGTATGTGCGTACAGTGTGTGTTTATAAACAAATTAAGTTGACTACTTACCGACACACATGTCCAATAAGCCTTGATCCCAGCCCTTTATCACTTGGCCAGCACCAATTTGGAATGTGAAGGGTTGATCGCGATCGAAGCTGTAATGAAAAAGATACTTAAATGGCTTAGATTTTGTGATTTTAGAAGCGGTAATTATTTCTAGCTACTGTTACTTTAAAGCAAATAAAATAAGTATTCGAAAAATTTTATAAGCGTATTTTATGTTTCCATAGCACCTTAAAGGAAATTTTTGCATTAATATGGATTTCCGGTGCTACAACCCATGAAGCAATTCATCATCAGGTATATCATGAAATTTATGATGTGTGAGAAAAATGAACTACCCAAAGTAGATTTGTTTGCCTCTTTCCACATGTGTTTTAAGAAAATGACAAAACGCCTCCAACAAGCAACATCTTTAAGAAGTTGGCTACGCGAATAGCGCAGCGTGGATAACCAACTGCCTCTCTACCACAAAACCAAGCAGCAATAGTAAAAACGCGTCACGGCGAAATAAAACAGCTATTTTTTGCCAAGTTAGCGACACCAACAGCGGTTGTTTGTATTATCAGCGAAGGTGCATATTTGATAATAATTGAGTGCGATACACTCTATCAAACGACAATATAAACAGGATAACAGCAATGCAGCAAAGGAAAAAAATCGTAGCTACACACAAACACACCTACCTATAGCCAAGGCTTGGCGCTAATAAAAAATTTAAGAGCAATGCGCGACAGGGAACAACTCGAAACCATCGTTCAAAATAGCAGTCAGCCAACAAGAGTCATCAAAGTGGTCCGGAGGCAATCGTGTGTCGCGTCAAGGAGGTTGGCCTGTTGTTGTTGTTGCCTGTTTCGCAGTTATAGCTTCTTAAGAATTTATGGAAAACAAACGCCATTGCGGTGCCCCAGCAGCTGAGAAAATACATACATAAATAAATATGGCGAATAGAAGATGCTAGCTGCTGATGGGTATGTGAAGAGCTTAAGTTGACATAATTTTCAGTTTTTAGCGGAAAATTTGCGAATTAAGCTCACGATGTTTGCCAGGAAGCGATTTAAAAGATTTCAATGATTAACTGAAACAGCCTACATCCCCAACATAGTATATCCCCCCCCCCATGCCTTTTTGAATAATAAAAACAATTTTCCATTTCCTTGAAGGGCACTTGGAGATGATAAAAGAGGCGACATTTTTTTCTATCGCCAATTAGAAAATGACATGCATTGCACATGTACATATGTATTTATGTAGTTTATAAAAAAATTATGCAAATTTAAAAAAACATGTAAGACAACAAAAAAGCACACAACAATAGAACTTCTAAAAACAACAATTTGTAGCTTGCTGCATGTTGGCAATGTTGTGCAAACTCTTGTTCCTTTTTTCTTGCAACTGTGACAAGCAGCAAAGTTGAAAAAAACTTTATTTTGACAAATTAAAACTACACCGGCGGGAGTGCACGTGAACAACAACAATGTAGAAAGTAAGTAAATAAAAAATTATCATTCAAGAGTGTATTGCTTAAAAGCAGTAGAGGGTACTTATTTAACGGGAGCGGTACTAAGAGATAACTACGTAAACTGTCAATAATAGGTGGAACTAAGAAGAGCACTTTAAATGGAAATAAATATACACACAAACAGGACAAAATTTTAGTTCGAAGTCATGAGCATACTAGGATAAGCCTTAGGCAGTGGCGTTATTTTTGCGACCCCAACTGTCTCTGTGTACACGCTGTTTGTCTCTTATCTCGCAGTGAGTCACTTACTTGCTAGGAGTTGTTGAGCTTGGCTTTCTACCGTTTAAAGTGCTGCTGGTTTGGGACTATATGCCGGAGCTGACTGCCGGACCACTGCTTCGTCTAGCTGCCTTCAGATCTTCGTACTGAGCTTTGTTGTGATGCGAGCTAGCTGATTAATCCTACGAAATTGGTTTTTATGAACTTTCGTGTTTTTATTTCATCTAGCCTTCAATGGTTTTTATTATTTTAAATACAACCAGAATTAAACCAATTACGTAACCGGTAGGCCCAAAAACCCCTTTTCGGAATAGTAGTTTTAAAATGGCAGCACTGTAGTTCTAAATAAATGACAATCTTTGAGAAACTCATTGTCAGCCAATAGCGGCAATCATGAAGGAAGACGTTTTAACTATTTTTTATTTAAATGAATACATATTCCAGCTATTATCATAAATTAATTAAATACTTAGTAAAGAAAGTTTTGCTTCATTTGTTTACTCAAAATAAAATTTAAGCATTTAGGCAAAAATATTTGTACCATCAAGCGCCCTCAAAGTTTCGCCGAATCATCTTAGCTGCATCACTGGGGACAGCTAAGTCGAATATGATTATCACGTGATGTCCAGAGGCGCTGTGTGGGACTATCACCGTGACGTTGCTACAGTGCTATGTACCTACATATGTACATACGTCTGTACTTGAACCTCTAGCCTCAACGTGACTGCGGCAGCTACTTGCGACACTTACCGCAGCTAAAGTACGCTCAATTTTTCGCTTGCTTGCTGTTCTTGTTGTTATGTTCGTCCTTGTTGCAGAAGAGATCTTAAATATTTTATTTAGCTCTCTTGGGCTTTGTAACAATTCAAAAATATTGTATTTGAATTTTGCATAGAACTTGGTGGCACAATTGTGTGTGCTTTTTTTTATATTGTGCCTGTGTTTGTACTGTGCAGCGCGCCTGAGTGTATGCCTCCCCCGGTGATGCAGCTTTAACGCCAAGTGGCACATTATCCACTAAAATGCCGCGAAATTGTGGCAAAGGAGTGTCGCAATGATCCTTCGTGTAGTAAGGAGGGAAAAGGCTCTAAAGGCAGGGAGACTTTTTTCTTGTTTGCTTGCAAATCTCTCGGTGGAAAACAAGAAAATAACACAAAGTACGAGCTTACAGCTACAATTTCACCTTTGTTTGACGTTTTGCTTATTTGAGTGTTTTGCTTTTTAAACAACTCTAAAAACAAGTGGATTTTGCAATGTAAAAAGGAGTTGGAGGTGTCTGGATCACCGTGTGAATTTTTATTGCATGATTCGCTGTGAATTGCATGTACCTAAAGTACTATGTATGTATGTAGGTATATATGTGTGCACATATGGATATGTGTAGTCTTTTTTGTTATGGCAGCAGTGAAACGAATCATTCGCTTATTTTAAGTCATAGCGTAAAATTTATGTTTCACAAGGAGGTGTATCATCAACGAAGCGTCTTCGCATATTTGTGGTGTATCTGTCTGCTATTCTTGTGTGATTCTCGAGCGTGGTATATGTGTAAGCGTAAGTAGGTGGTACTTTATTTTTACTGCAAATTCAAATATGTTTACAAATACAAACAAGTGTTTCACTTGCTGCCCTCTCTACCTTTCTACTCAATGTCATCCAGCCGGGGTTAGATGCCGACTTTAAAGCCTCCACTGATCCCCATAGATTTATGGTTCACGCAACGATAATTGTTATTTTCGCGACGTGATGTTAGCTCTTGAATAAAATGTCAATTGATAGGTGTGAATCAACGCAGTTATGCCAACGCTTTGAGAGAAGGCTTGCAGTTTACATAAATAAAATTCAGAAGTGGAAACAAATTTGCATTAAATATAGCCATTTAGTTTATCAAATGATAGGTGTGACCAGTAAATGAGAAAGAGAGGATGAAAAACGTAAAAAAAAACATTTTAGTACATGCATATATACAAAGCTACACTTACATATATATACATATGTACATACAGTACGAACAAAAGTATTGGCACAGAGAATTTTTTTAATATGTGTGTACAGTGACTCAAACAAACTACCACGTGTTGATTTTTTTCAATATTCGTGGTGTTTTTCGAGCTACATTTTTTTGTTATTTTTCTATAAAAAGACCGTCCAAGATTTTACCAAAAACTTATACCACAGTTTCAAACTTTATACAAAATTTAGGAAAATTCAGCAAATTTTCATCAAAGTTTCAGCTTTTCTGATTCGTTAGAATATTTTTGGGTGCAGAATTTTAGAGCCCATACAATTTTAGTCTAATGAAGTGCAAGTTTCAACCGACTTAAAAATCGCGTTGATCGTTGGGATTTTTTTTTGAGACTGCTTTTGCGTTTTTGTTTTATATAAGAAGAGCAATTTAAAAAAAACTGGCGTTGATCTTTGGAAATTTTGTTGCTAACGGTTTCTCGCATTTAATTTCATAAGATGTCCGTGCTGATATGGAAAACAGTGCAAAAATCCGTCTCAAAAAAACAATCAACGGGATTTTTAAACCGGTTGAAACTTGCTTTTCATTGGACTAAAATTGTATGGGCTAAAAAACTGCATACCCAAAAATGTTCTAAAGAATCAGATTAAAAAGTTGAAATTTTTATGAAAAATTGATGAATTTTCCAAAATTTTGTATAAAGTTTGAAACTGTGAGTGTGTTTTTGGTTAAAGCTTGGATGGTATTTTTATAGAAAAATAACAAAAAAAACATAGCTCAAAAAACACTACGAATATTTAAAAAAATCAACACGTGGTCATTGTTTGAGTCTCTGTATATTCAATTTAATTTTGCATATTTAATTTAATTTAATATTATATTGAAAACATTAGTGCATTAAGATGTAATCTTTACTTGCACAATGATACAAACAAATTGCAAAAAATAAAATAAAAAGTACAGATAATAATTAATATTACAATATAGATTAAGGTAATGAATACGTTGAATTACAATTCATATATTCTAAAATAAAACAAAGGTAAGCTTATAACCACTATTCTTGATCACGCTTGGAAGAAAAAAAGTTTAATATGAGTTTTTTGAAGTTGCCTATGTGCAACGCGTTCTTCAAGGACAGTGGAAGGGAGTTCCAGAGCCTTACCGCATTAATAAAAAACAGTCTTGAAGTGCATAAATAGTTAAATCTCGGAAGAATAAGACCTGACGCAATGCACAATTTGCAATATGCAAAATTTTTTATTACAATTTCTTTTCGCTAATTTTTTATATAAATATATGTAGTTCATACTACAACGAAAAACCTAAATATAAAATGTATAAACTTTGTGCAAAACTCAGGAAAGTTCAATAAATTTGGATACTCATTT